CTTTCAATGGAAGCGCATAATCAGCTCAATACCCTCAGGTTTTATTGTAGCAATCCCCCCTCTCGGCTACCCAGGATGAGCTAATATGTAAAACCAAATGCAAAAATGGTGTCATCTCATCTTCAGCTCTCTACCAGCTACAAATGGCAAAGTTTCAGGAATGGCCTCAATGGGCTTACATCTGGAAAAGCAAAGCCCCCCCCCCCCAGGATCAAATTCTTTGCCTGGCTTCTAGCTTTCAACCATCTTCCGACCAGAGTAAATCTACACAAAAAGAAGATTCTCCCATCCCCAACATGTGAGCTCTACCAGAGCTCTCCTGAAGATACGGATCACTTTTTCCTCGATTGCCCTTTTTCATCAGCTTTCTGGAATTTGATCAAGCTCACTCCGTCAGTGACAACCCTCTTCATGCTGCACACCAACAACCTTGCTGGTGCCCCGGTACCGTTGAACAACACATTGTTTCTTCTCTGCTGCTGGTGCCTCTGGAACCATAGAAACGAAGTCGTGTTCCAAAATGAACTCCCATCCATAAGCCGCCTCCTCAGATGTTGCTGCCAAGATGCCAAGCTCTGGGTTCATCGGTTCAAGCAATCGAATAGAGCTATCCTCCCTGTGTGGCTTTCTTTTTTCTCTTCCCCCTTATCTCCTGTAATTTTGGTTTTTCTTGTTTTGCTTTTCCCGCTTTTGTTGTACAGTGTTTGTTTTGGCCTTTAATTTAATTCCCGGCGGCGGTGACGATCGCCTGTTTCGTGGGGTGGGTTGTGCACTCGTGCTGGTGGTGAACATGGTTTCGTGAAAGCTACTCTCTATTTTACCTTCCTTCGCTACTTGAAGTTCATTAATTTTTCGTTCAAAAAAAGTTCATTAGTTTTTTCATAAAACATTATTCTATTACGGAAATGCTAATGGGCGGGTGATCGCTCCCCTGTCCGCCCAGCGATCACCTGCCTGCCCTCTCCCCTATACTACTCGATACACTCCTCCCTCCTCCCCTTCTTATCTTCCTACTACAGTACACCATAAAATTTTTTTAAAAAAAACAAAAAGTTAGAAAAAATTATGGAGTGAATTACACTTTGGACTAGTTTTAATTACATAAGTTGCATACTGGACTAGGAACGTACAACCATTTTCACTTTGAACCAGGTTTTGTTACCAAACTATGCAATTTGGACTAGTTGACTCACATGTTAGCCTCAGCCATTCATCTTCCTCTTTTATTAGTCCCTATCCTGATCGGGCAGAGCTCATCTCTTCCCCAGTAATGCAGCAGTAGCAGCCTAGCAGGCTGCACGAACATCGAGTGGCCGCTGGCATGTCCTCTGCAGCTCTGCCCTGCATCCCTCCCTCTTGAAGATGACCGCTCGTCGGCTCCATAGGTTGTGCCCGTCGACGACCGCTCCACCGGCTGACGCAATGCGCGAGATGGAATGGGCTCTGTCGTTGGCGCTGCCACTGGGAGACGAGTGCGGGCGCCCCTCGAGCTTGACAGGTGAAGGCACGTACAACGTACAGCCTGGCGCTCCATCGATCTCGGTCCATCCATTGGCCAACCTGCGTTGCTCAAGATCGGACTTCAATTGGAACCCCAAGCAAATCACACCAACAAAGCTGCACTCATTCTGGACTGCTGGTCACTAACCACGGGCCCAAGATGAGATTGATGCATTCGTCGGTGAAGACGGGAGAGATGGAAGAAAACACTTTCTACATGATATGTGGGCCACTAGTCCAAGATGAAAGTTTTGGTAACTTCATATGTATTAAAGTGAAAATATGGGGTAGCATCCAGTCCATTGTGCAACACAGGTAAGAAAACCAGGACCAATATACAATTTACTCAAATTTATGTATGGAAATACTTATACATAAAAAATTTGAATTCAAATTCAAATTTGAATCGGGTAGGTAAACTTTTGACTTATAAACTTTGAGTCTATAAGCTTTAGGTGTATAAACTTTATATATATAGAAATACTATATATAGAAAATATTTGAATTCAAATTCAAATTTGAATCGGGTATGTAAACTTTTGACTTATAAACTTTGGATCTATAAACTTTAGGTGTATAAATTTTAGATGTATATAAATACTATATATAAAAAATATTTGAATTCAAATTCAATTTTTAATTAGATATAATTTAAATTCAAATTTGAAACGGGTATATAAACTTTTGACTTATAAACTTTAGGTCTATAAACTTTTGATATATAGAAATACTATATATAAAAAAAATATTTGAATTCAAATTCAAATTTGAATCGGATATATAAACTTTTGACTTATAAACTTTTGGTCTCTAAACCTTAAATGTGTAAACTTGAGGTGTATAAACTTTAGTGTACAAATTTACTAAAATAGGAAAGTAATGTGGTACCCAAGAAAGGAAACCAGATGGAGGGGGAAGAAAATTCTCTGCGGCGATGCCGCATGACACTTCATGTACAACACCGCGTAGTCTAGCGACGCATGTCTAAGTTTTTACTGTAGCCCGAGTTCTTTCGAGCCGAGCCGATGTCCAATCTCTATAGTCGACTCAACGCCCAGGAGCTGGTTCTCACCTACGACCTCATCGTGGAGGTCCTGATATGCCTCCCGTCCGTCACTGATGTCGGCCGCGCATGCGCGGTCTGCGCCTCCTTCCTCGGTTCCGCTGCATCGTCAACGATCCTGCTTTCCTCCGCCGTGTGCGTGCGCTCCACCCGCCGACGCTCCTCGGCTTCTACGACTACGCCTCACCCGTCGGGGCGTCGGGTTCCCCCTGCCAAGGAGCCCCACCCATCCGCCGCCGCCGCCATCTCCCGTGGCATGTTCTGTGCCGCCAACTTCAGCTTCTCATTCGTGATATCCTTGACGGTCGCTTCCTCCTCGGCATCATCCACCGCATTCCCCTTCTCAAACGGCGGAGGGCTTGTGAGCACACTAATTCCAATCCCAATGAGCACCCCATTGTAAAGAGAAGCCAGGATCAATATTCAATATCGCTTCAAGAAACCTGATATCTTCTCCTCGGTTGGAGCCTTGAAGGAAGTGATATTGGTCTCTGCCTCTCCGGTGATGCGATGAATTCGATTTTGGGGTAGTCCGCCGCAGAGAATTTTCTTCCGGTGGAGGGAGGGAGGGAGAGGGGATCGATCGCTAACCCACGATCGATCGCCCATTGGGATCCCCCGTTCTATTAGGCCTTTACAATGCAACACGGTGTCGTTCGGCTTGAGGCGTACACGTCGACAAATCCGGAGAAATCGGCGCCACGTTCGCAAGTGAAAACGAAGCAACTCGGTCTTGGGTGAAAACGAAGCTGCGCGCGGCTGGGAGAAAGCGTGGCCGGCGCGCTGTGGGGCGAGTGGCTTCGTGCTCGTGCCCAGGCGCGCGCCGCATCCCGGTTTTGCCCTCGCCATCGCCCTCTTTCCCGCGTCCCCCTCTTTCTCCCGCGCACGGGCCGCTTTCTTTTTCCCCTTTCCGCGTGGTCCATGGTTGGAATCGGAGGAGGATCCAGAGGAGTCTGTGCTCTCGGCACGACGCCCTCCGGCGACATGACCGGCTTCCCCTGCCCCAGTGGCTCGCCGTACAGCAGCCATGGCAATCACAGCCATGGCCGGCTCTCCTGTTTTTCTAGGATTGGGATTATGTTAAGCACCTAATCACCCACCGCAATCACAAGAACCAAAAAGGAATTGGATTAGATTAAGCACCAAATCAGGTAGTGAGATGCAGGAAGAGAGGTGAAACTTGAGCAAGAGATGAAAGGTCACAAGTCTCCATTTATCAACAAATAAAATGCAAAGGATTAGCAAATGGAAGATAACAAGACAGATGAAGCAGACCAAGAACTGAAAGAGGCAAAAACCAACTTTACCAAAGAACCCATGTGTAGCAGATGCAAGAATCTCACACGGCGCAGCAAGAGACCATACCGAAAGGATCCAAGACATGCACGGGAGTAGCAAAGAAAGAAACAAAGCCCCACTCACATTTCAGGCTTTCAGCAGCAGCAGCAGATAGTTTCAGAGAAGCCTGTGCATGGCTGGAACCGGAGGGAGTGGAGACTGTGCCGCGTTTGGGGATAGCCGCTCCGGAGCCACGAAGCCACTCCGGAGCTTCATCGTCGGCGAGGTCAGACTGGCGTACGGTGGCGCGGGAGGAGGAGAGGAAGGAGATGCTGTTAGGAGGAGGCGATGAGACATGGTTGTACCGGCCTCGTCAAAGGGCAGTGTACTAGTTGATTTCGAGGGTACATAGGTAATTTTATGTGCTGGGACAAATCTTGGCTCCGTGGGCTAGGCCATGCCACATGTGTGTCTTCAAACATAAATGACTCGGTTTTAGGCCACATTGCATTTTGTAGTGGCTTTTGAAGTTCTTTAGTCTATTTGGCACCCCAGGCTAAATATATATAGTGACACATTGCTCTTACCCTTAGGATGTTCAATAACATCGGTTTGAATTTGATGTTGTTATCGGTTCATTCATGCGTATGTCCACTACTTTGTTTTGGATGGCAAAAATGTGAGTTATTCTGATCACAAAAGAAAGTCAAAAATCTGATTTGTTCTGATCACAAAGGAAAATTAACCAGTCAATAACACAATACGCTCCATATGTCACTCTCTCTTACTATTACTTAAATCGATGAGTATAGATTGCAGCGTATTGGGGTTGGATGCAACTCGAGACTTGGAATGTTAGATCGAGACAAACTCATAAGCCACATCGCTCGTAGTAGCGCCGTCCCAAGAGCTGCACAACCTGTGAGACGTACCGCGGCTACCGCCCCGATCTAAACTCATACGAGAACACACCAACATTCGAGAACCCTTATCGGAATTGCTAGATTAGGGGGAAAACTTTCAATTTTAGACCATTAGATTTGCTTTAAGATTCGTGCTAGCAAATAGGAGAAAAAATAAATTAGCAAGTGTAGCTGCTAAAATTTGATCTCACACCGTTGAGCTCATTGAGGATCTATGCTACCACCGTGCCATATAATTTTTTGGATATTTTTATTTTAGTTACGTATAAATTATATACGAGTTACAATGTAGTTACTTTCTAGTTATATATAAGTTATTATAATATAGTTACACTATACTTACATTTGAAAGTTTTATAAAAAAAAATTGCGAAGTTTTTTTTAAGATAGTTCTAATAACACATATCTCAGTCCATCCGTAGCACAACACAAGCAGTTCACACGAACATGCACGCCACGACAGACCACACGGAACAGGCGATCGCCGCAGCCGTCGAGATGATCCGCGGCAACGCGGCAGCCGAAGCCGAGGACGCCCGGTTGGACGACTTGGACGGCTGGTCGAACGACTCGAACCACAGCGACCCGCGGCCCTGGATCTGGATGTCGTAGTACATCATGTGCGTGCCCGTCTGGATCAGGCTGCCGAGGAGCGACAGCCCGCCGGCCACCGCCGTCGGCAGTATCGTCAGGCACTCCAGCCCGGTAGCCGTGTCCTGGTAGAGGTAGTTCCGCGGCTGCAGCTCCATGACCGCGCCGTCCCAGAACACGAGCGCCATGGCGGGGAACTTGGCCTTGGCCAGGTACTGGCTCGTGTAGCACAGGTCAAGGCCGAGCGCAGAGCCGTCCACGGTGTCGGACCCCACCGTGCTGACCAGCTCCCGCCTTAGAAGGTCGTAGGCGTTCTTCTCGAGAAAGGTGATGGGCACGGAGGTGCTGAGGTACGCAACGAGTGGGTCTCGGCCGCCCGACCCCGCACCCAACATGTTGAGGTTGTTGCTGCCGACTCGCATACCGGAGAGCCCAACGAGGTAAAGGTAGCTGTAGGCACCGTTTTCGTAGGACCAAAACTGAGTGTACCGGGGATTGCTGGTCTGCGGGACGGCGTATTCGCCGAAGAGGATGAAGCTTGCGTTGCCGGCGGCGGTGTCGTCGTATTCAGGGGCGAAGTAGTAGGAGAACCGCCCGAGTTGTAGCTGCGAAATGAGGGAGAGTCTCCCCCTGTTTAGGCCGATCACGCCGAAGTTTGTTTCGGGTTCGAGGCCACACCCGAAAATCATATTGACTGGCATCGTGTTGTCACCTAACGTGAACGGTTGGAGGCCGAGGTGTCCTTCCGTTTCCGTTCCGCCCGCACCACCGTACCTGCAGGTGTATTTGCATGGGCCATTATACGGTGCGCCGCAGTCCGGCTGCCCGACGATTGTCCGGCAGCGCTGTTCTCCGCATGAGTAAAGCTCCCGGGGCAGCGTCTTGTAAACGCCGGTTTTGTCGCTGGGGCAGGAGTAGGGGCTCACGCACTCCTCGCATGGCACCCACACGAACTGACTGGAGATGTCGAACGCGCCGTAGACATACTGCGGAGGCGTGCCGACACCGACGGTGATGAGGTAGGTTCCGCCGGTGGTGGCCGGGGCCTGACTTGGGTCACTGCTGCTGCCTTCGCCCTCGCCCTTGCTGGGGATGGCGTCCGCGGCGAGGCCGGCCAAGTCCGCGGCATGGTCCTTGAATATGTCCCGGATCTGCTTATTTGCCTTTGGGCTTAGCTTGAACCGTGGAATGAAGCCGGAGGAGACCATTTCCGGCGTAACGACGAGGATTAGGGAGGCAATGGCAATGGCAGCGGCAACAGCAGGGATTCGGTCCGCCATTGGAGGCAGCCTGGAGTACCTTTTTTTTTTGTGAGAAGTTCAACTAAGCTGGAATGTTCTCTACTTCTCTGACAGTTGGGAAAACCAGAGATTCTGTGTAGAATGCGTGACCAGAGGGCAGAGTCTGTTCTCAATTTATAGCCTGAACAAATGAAAACTTATCTACTCCACTTCATAATAATTAAATGCTCCGCAGCTTTGCTAAAATGCCCCCACGTTAATTGGTAATTGCTATAAACAAGTTGCTGAGTCCTTCTCTAAGAAGTCTAACAGACGGCAACATGTTCGACAAAGAACAGGTCAACCAGTGGCGCATCTTGATATGAGTGGGGCCGAACTTAAGAGGTACTTACCCATTTTATATTATAAGTTGTTTGACTTTTTCTCAGTTAAAATTTTTTTAGTTTGACCAAGTTCATAAAATGTATTGATTATTATATGCATACAGCAGTATAGGACTTAAAAAGTCGATCTATAATATGGCCTGTTTGGAGAACGGGAATGGGGTCCCCGGTTCCCTGGAATAGTCAGGGCTCCAAATGATGTGTATCACAACAAGAGATAGACATATAAGATTTACATATTTAAGAGACGTACAAAATCTATATCTTCAAGAGACGTATAAGATCTACATTCAGATCTTAAGAAAAGTGTAGAAACCTACAAGATCTACGTATCCAAGGTACCGAGAAGAGGGTGGAGACCTACAAGAATATCTCCAAGGTGTATGGTGCTTCTTTGACGAAGGTAACCACTTTGAACCCGTTCATTAACGACATCTTCGAGAAGCTCGTCCAAAGTAACAAGAAACCTGTAAAGAAGCAAGAGGAAATATCCCTGGAGACCTGGGAAACTCAGTGCGCCAGGCATGGAAACAAGCCCCATGGAGTGGAGGCACCCTCAATGCGCAATACCAATGGACTTGGGGCCCTAGGCAGGGGCCCGAGCACACCTCATTGCCCCGGGCTCACTATGGGGTTTTTTTCACCTCGCTTGGTGGGCCAACGGGCTTAACTCCAACTCAATATTATTATTTCCGTTGTAGGAGGGAGCCGTTTGGAGAACAGCTCATCCACCCACATCTTAGGGACATGACGCCGCATGTAGCCTCCCGAGAACCCATGTCTGCCGAAGGAATAGGTGGGGTGGACATGCCCCTCCCATATCACTCCAGCATATTCAATCTTGCCACCTTGTAAGAGTTGACTGGTGGGCCCAATGGTGAGAAGATCACCTTGCCTCTGCATCGTGTGTCAATCGGAGAGCAAAGATGTCACTTCCTGCCATCTTGCTATAGGGGACATCGACGAAACAAGACACACCCAACTCTTTGGAATAGGGCCCGCTCTTAGATGCAAGTTTTAGCACTATGCACTTCCCTTGGCATATAAAAGGAGGATCTATCCCAATGAATAGAAGGTTGAATCTTTTAGCAATTAGAGCTCACATAAGTCCTATATCTCATCGTAATACAAGTTCATCACTGATAGTCTACATACACACAAGAGTAAGATGTTACGCATCCGTATGGCTCAAACCTGTATACTTCATCACGTCCATTTGATCCTGAGGGTGACTCAGGCTTAGACTCGCCCCTTGTCCAAATCTTCGAAAGGGGGTCTTGCTTCCCCGATGTGGGAGTTACATACTGCGACATAGCCCATCTCAATCTCATCATCCCCAACATGATAGGAATCAAAAGGGACAATTAAACCCTAGAGTCTGCATCTGTCTAGACGCATGCCGTATGGCTAGGGGTGACAATTTCCCCGTTAGGGTAGGGGACCCGCCCCTACAGGGGCGGGAGAGTTCTCACCCGCGGGTGAGTGGGGACGGGGCCCCACAAAATTCTAGGAACGGGGATGGGGATCGGAATTAACCCGCAAGTGACCCGGAGGGGTCCCGGATGTGAGTTACTTCTCTAAAAGTAGCCCATTACAATAATATAGACCCAACAATCCCATTCAAAGTTGACATATAAAAGCTCAATACCCTAGTCCCCTCAATCGTAATCCCTTTCCTTCCTTCAATCCACCCACACTGTCGAGGGTTATTGAAATTTTATCATACTATTATTTAGTGTATTGCAATATTTGGATGGAGTATTAACTCCATCCAGCTGATGCGGGGACCCGGTCACCCACCAGGTCCCCTATGGGGGTAGGGACGGGTGAAGTTTTTCACCCGACTTCCTTTGCGAGGCCGGGGACGGGGATACCTGCATGAGGGTGGAGGTGGGGGCATTCCAAGCCAACCCGGCCCCGCCCCGCCCCGTTGCCACCCCTACAGGTCACCGACTTGTTACTGACCTTCCTAAAAAAACTTGTTTAGTGACCGATTTACTATTCTATCAGAAGAATGACTTGTTGATATTTATTCATCTCTAGAATAGGAGAGAGATTGTGTAAGACACCTTTATCGAGAGACCATTATGGTTTTTAGACTTCTTTCTTTTTCATAGAGTTTAGTTTGTGAGATTAATATAGAGGACTGCCTCGGATGCACTATGGAAAACATTTGGTGTAAAGTGTTGCAATTTCGCTCTCTATCATATTGTTTTAGTTTTCTGGTTTAATTTATTTAACATGTTGAAAATAATGCTGTCTTTTCTTTTGGCGGTGAATATTTATTCTATAAGATTTGCTGTTTTGCACCCGCTACTGTTTATCCTTTTTTAGGCTTGGTTTACCGTGTTTCAATCCTATGGCTTAGTTTTTATTTCTATAAAAAAGGCACTGGCTTGGATCTAATTCAAAATGGAATTTTGACAATTATCTGCAGGCAAATGCAAAATTTACCCAAAACATAGTAATATGTCTTAGAAAATGAATTTTTCTTAACGTGTGTTTAGTTCACGTCAAAATTGAAAGTTTGGTTAAAATTGGAACGACGTGACGGAAAAGTTGAAAGTTTATATGTGTAGGAAAACTTTGATGTGATAGAAAAGTTGAAAGTTTGAAGAAATAATTTGGAACTAAACCCAGCCGAACTAAAAGTAGAGGATGCATTGACCTCCGGTAGTTTTCGGTCTGCTCCCTTTGTTTTATAGAAAATAAATCTACAGCCCGTTAAGAAAAATAATTTATGAATAAAGCTTTTTATACATGTTCTTAGCGATCTAAAAGCAAAAGCAAATGCTGAAAAATAAACTTCGATGAAAAAACTCCAAAATCAACTCCAAATTTAATTTAAAAATTCAAATTTTAGATGATAAAGCATAAGCACAAGTCAAAAGATGATGCCGCTAATACAGAGATGTAACGTATCCTACCACATAAATCTAGAAAAAGAATATATTTAGATTTATAGTATTAGAACGTATCATATATATCTCGTGCTAAATTTTTTATTGCCCCTGGGAATTTCCATTTCAATTGGGGATGCCGATAGAGGCGAGACTGAAATCTGACATAAATACAGTCATGGAAAGACTTGCAATTGGAAGAGTGAAGTCAAGAGGGTGTGTATAATTGAGCAGGCCGACACTGAAAATAATGTCACTTATGTCTTTCGTCCTAGTGGTGGTTGGGAGATATAGGCCATGTTTACATTCCAATCTTTTTCTTCAAATTTTTAACTTTTTCGTCACATCGAACTTTTCTACACATATAAACTTTTAACTTTTTCATCGTATTGTTTTAATTTCTTTAAACTTTTAATTTTAACGTGTAACTGAACACAGCCATATTCGCGGTAATAATAAGAATTAACGTGTTGATCGAGTACCGCTTGCATGGTTAGATTCTTGCATGCCATCTTGTCAACTGTGGATGCCAATTGATTAAGAGGACTGGCTCAAAAGGTGATCGATCGTTCTCAGCTATAGCAGGGTACACAAACCTGCATTGACTACGTAATTGACTTGGTCCACTATGCAGATTAATCGATCTTTTTTTATGAGGCCCCTTAGATTGTAGGTGGAGTGGTGGACCATAACTACTCTTGTCTATAAGAAGATGGTTCTATGAAAACGGTTTAAGAACCATAAGCGAAAATCAATTTTTTATACGAGCCTCTTAACCGTAGATGATATTTGGCTATAATAAGGTTTTTGAATTATTGACAATATAAGGAAATCACCTTAATATTTGATGTAGAAAATAAGAGAGTAAATCATAACGATGTAAATTTAAATTATGATAGCGTAAATCAATAAACGATGTACTCTCAACAACAGGAATATGAAAAAAAAACATGATATCAGTGTAAACCATGAAAATAGGCATATCTAACTCATTTGCGCATATGAAAGGAACCAACAGAGAAGGGAAGAAGAGAACAATAGCATACAGTGATACAATAGTGGTTGCAATGGTAGCAGAAGGAGAACCGTTGCCGTTCCCACCGTTGTCATTGCCATTCTTGCCATTGCCATTGCTGTTGCCTTTACTGTTCTTGTTCTCGCCACCAGCCATGATTAAAAGGAAGTAGTCGATGTAGTCGCACTCAAGCACAAGCGGGCAGTCGTGCAATGTGCTTGCAAAAAGCCTGATTCGCCTCCTCTCGGTGCAAGATCAAGGATGTGAGGTTTCGGAGCCTTGTTCTCCTAGTGCATATGCACACACACTCGCCAGGATGGAATCACCATAGAAGCAACAGAAGTGGAAGTGGATGGAAAATGTATGTTCTCTCTCATGCGTAGGAGATCAAATCCATTCTCGTTTTATAGGAGAAAAGAAAAATGAAGGGTAAGAGACTCATGGAATAGGAAGAAAAATAGAGTAACTGATTGTCATCAACTAGCCATCAACCTTCCTCCACTGCACTACTATCAACCAACTATCAATTAGATGTAATCAATGAATGGATTAATTCTCAGAACTCTTCATCTTTACCATTGATAACTCATGAGAGAATGAATACACATAAATACTAGCATATGAGCCTTGGAATTTATTTGATATCATTGATTTAAATGGATCAATTGTCCAAGTAAATTTAACAATCTCCACCAAATTTCAAAGCTTACGAAAATGCTCTTTATTCCAATGCAACTTTGATATACCAGTGTTTCGGTGGAGACCGATTAATGAACATCCACCTATAACAAGAGCTACATCTATCCACATCTGAACAATGAACTATACCTTGAATTCAGAATT